CCATAAAAATTCCTATCAAATAAAAATTCCCTCATCTTGTTTTTAAATCTTTTCCTTTTTCTTTTTGAAAAATAAAATCTTTTTTTTTTTTTTTTTTTGAGAAAGGGTCTCCCTATACTCCCAGCTGGCCTGGAACTTGCCAATGTAGACCATGCTAGCCTCGAACTCAGAAATCCACCTGCCTCTGCCTCCCAAGTGCTGGGACTAAAGGTGTGAGTCACCATGCCTGGGGTGAAAGATAATCTTAATTTTTACAGTTAAAGTAATATACAAATCTTCCAGGTGTGGTGACACACACCTTTAATCCCAGCATTCAGGAGGCAGAAGCAGTTGGATTTTTGAGTTCTAGGCCAGCATGCTTTACATGGTAGGTTCCAGGACAGCCAGAGCTACATAATGAGACACTGTCTCAAACCAAACAAACAGATTTTACAGATCTAAGGTTCTGAGTATTATAGGAAGTCAAACATGGTGGAATATAATAACTGGAAATGTTTTTCAAATCAGCATGACATCTTTGTAGAACATTGAGAAGACTGAACCGAATTTGAAGGGATCAGATTAGAAGGAATATAAAATACTGTGGTTCTTTCTAGGACCTTTTTAAAAGTTAGAAGTTTAGACTTAAAGTAATAGAAAATAGATCAGTTGAGATTTTACTTGCTGAAAGAAGTATTCCAAGGAGGGTGGATTATAGTGTAGAGCTGAAGTCAATCTACTTAGGAGCTAGTTTTCTGTAATCACTTCAGCCTTTGCCATAATAGTTTGAGGTACTCTGCCTAGAATGTCAAACTCTGATCCTACCAATTCTTACTTGTGTGACCCCCATAAAGTAGTCAAAGACTATTTATTTATAGACTAGCTATAATACCCATTTCATATCCATTTTTGAGGGGAGATTGGTATGAGGATCAATTCCAGGTCCTTAAACATTTTAACAATCACCATACCATAGGGTAATGCAGAAGAGGGTGTCAGATCCCCTAGAACCTTGTTAGCCACCTTGTAGGTGCTGGGAATACGATCCAGGTCTTCTGTGCTCTTAACTACTGAGCCATCTCTTCAGGTCCTCCCCCCCCCTTTTTTTTTAAGACAGGGGCTCACTCTATAGCCCTTGCCTGCCTCTTCCAGGCATGTGCCAACACACCTGATGTTTTTATGCTCTTGTTTGTTTTTTGAGACAGAATCTTACTATGTAGTTTAGGCTAGATTTGAACTTAATGTGTAGCCTGGGCTGAACTTGAACTCGTGATCCTCTTGCCTTTTGAATCTTGCTAGTATTACATGTACTACCATGCTTGGCCTTATAGATTTAGAGGGATTAAATGAGACAGGCTCTTTAAAGCAGTTAGCATAGTACCTAGAGTATAAAGTAATAAGTGTTGTTTATTATATAGAATTAGAGTAATGTAGCAATATTCAGATGAGAAGAAAGGATGCATTTTTTTTTAATTTTGTTTTCTAAGGCAGGTCTTATATAGTTCAGACTGGCCTCAAATTTGCAATGTAGCTAGGATGGCCTTGAACTTCTGATTGTCCTGTCCCCACCCAACAAATGCTGCAATTATACTTGTGTCATTATACCTAACTAAAGCAAGATATTTTGAAAACATTTTATAGCATATGATGATTGGATAGAAGAACCAAGCAAGAGATACAAGTCAAAGTATTGAAGAACTAGTTGGCAGAGCAGAATGCTTCCATTGATAAGAAGGAAGAGTTTGGAGCCAATTGGATGGCTCTGAGTAAAGGCTCTTTCTGCCAAGTCTCAGTTCCATCTCAGAGACCCACATGGTAGAGGTAGAGAGCTGACTCCTGAAAGTTTTTCTCTGACCTCCACACACAGATTATGGCTGACATGCCCCCCCCCAAATGAGTAAATTAATTAATTTTAAAAATGTAAATTTTTTTAAAGGATAAACTTATCAAAATTTAAATATTCGATGTTTGTTATTACCCCCCTCCTTTTTTTTTTGGTCTTTTTGAGACAGGGTCTTCCTGTAGTTCCAGCTGACCTGGAACTTGCTGTGGAGACCAGGCTGGCCTCGATCTCACAGAGATCTGCCTTCGTCTGCCTCCAGAGTGCTGGGATTAAAGGTGTATGCTACCACACCTGGCTCTTTTCTCCATTTCATAACTTTTTATATTTTATTTTGTTGTCTTTCTGTGCTGAATTTTGAGTAATTTGTTTTTCAACTCTATCTTCTTAGCTGTACTTACATATTTAGGGTTTTGTTACATTCTTGGCATGGCATGTTGAGCATATAACCCAGGGCTTGTACAGGCTAGGCAAGTTGTCTACCACTTAGTTGTTTTTTTTTTTTTAATTTAGGTTGTTTTTTAAAAGTGGACGTATATATGGCATATATATGAAAAAGGGTTTATAATGTATGGGTATAGTTTATCAGATAATAAATAGTTGTGTAATTGATTCCTGACTGACCTGGAATACTGTGTAGACCAGACTGGCCTCAAACTCATACAGTCTGCCTGCCTCTGCCTCCAAAGTGCTGAGATTAAAGGTGACTGACTGGTCAGTGCATGACCTACCCAGCTAAATTTTTCTTTAAAAACATTTTTTTTTTTTAGATTTATTTATTTATGTGTACGTGTGTTTTCCTGCATGAGTTTATATGTACCATGTGTGTGCAACAGCCTTTGGAGCCAGAAGAGGGCATTGGATCCCTTGGAACCTGGAGTTACAGGCTGTTGTAAGCTGCCATGTGGGTCTTGGGAACTGAATTTCAGCCCTCTACAAGAGCACTAAGCACTCTTAACTGCTGAGCCATCTTTTATCCCTCGGCAGAAGTTTTAATTGATTATGGGGTTTTTGTTGCTGTTGTTATTGTTTTTAATATTTTATATGTGTGAGTGTATTGTCTGCATGTATGTAAGTGTACCTGTGTCTTACCCATGGATCTGAAGAGGATGTTTGATTCCCCTGGAACTAGCCACCATGTGGATGCTGGGAATTGAACCCCGGTCCTCTGCAAGAGCAGCCAGTGCTGTTAACTGTTGAGTCCTCTCTCTAGCCCCTTCATTATGTTTTTTAACTACTGTAAGTTCTGAATGATGGTTTTTTAAGTTTGTCTGGTCTGAGACTGGAGGTGTAGCTCAGTTGGTAGAGTGCTTGCCTAGCCCCCACAAAGCATGGCATATAGTCTGAAGTGCCACGTTAACAGCATGGTGGTACAAGTCTTGATCTCAGCACTCAGAAGAGGAAGGAGGATTAGAAGTTCAAAGTCATCTTCTCCTACACTGGAAGTTTGAGACCAGCCTGGGTTAGAGACCTTGTCTCAAAAATAAATAAATGAGCCTGGTGTGGTGGAGCATGTCTTTAATCCAAGCACTCAGGAGACAGAGGTAGGCAGATCTCTGAGTTTGAGGTCAGCCTGGTCTACACAGTGAGTTCCAGTACACCCAAGACTATATAGTGGGACCTGTTTCAAAAATGGGTGAATGAACCAGGTGTGGTGGCACACACCTTAATCCCAGCACTTGGGAGGCAGGGCAGGTGGATCTATGAGATCCAGACTAGCTTGGTGAGTTGTAGGCCTGCTGGGGATACCCTGTCTCAAAAAGATAAGGAAAAAAAAAAAAAAAGGAAGGAAGAAGAATAAATGAATAAAATAAACTGCTACAGTGGTTTTGGGGGCTGGAGAGATAAGGCTCAGCAGTTAAGAGTACTGGTACCCACACGGTGGCTAACAATCATTCGAGGGGATCTGACGCTCTCTTCTGACCTCTGAGGGTACTGCATGGCACAGGCACACCTACTTAGCTGCAGGCAGTGTACTCATACACATAATGTAAAAATAATAAATAAGGGGCTGGAGAGATGGCTCAGCAGTTAAGAACACTGGCTGTTCTTGCAGAAGACCTGGGTTTGAATCCCAGCACCCACATGGCAGCTAACAACTGTCCATAACTCCAATTCCAGGGGATCTGACAGCCTCTTCTGTCCTCTGGGCACTGCACAACACGGGTGCACTTACCTACATGCAGGCAATATACATATACATGTAAAATAAAAATAAATAAAATTAAAAAGAAATTTAAAAAATAAATAAAAACCTTGCCTGGTCTTTGTTTCTGTCTTCTTGCTCTTTTTACATATTTTGGTTTCTTTCTTAAATCTCTTTAAACATTTTAATCATATTCATATTTTGTATTTAATAACACTATTAATTATGTTTGTAAATGGTAAAACTTTTACTTACAAAAACCTATCAACCTCAAGGTTTGTCAGTTTGTGCTCTGGTTCAAGTAAAGCAAGTGCCTAGGGGACAGTGATGCCTTCTGTGTCAGCTTATTGCCATGCCAATATGGATTCCCGGCGGCCGTCTCTACCTTTCATTTTTCACCTGGGGTTTTCTGATGGTAATCTTTGTATGCTTTTTTTATTTTTGGGGGTCTTTTTTGAGACAGGGTCTCCCTGTAGCCCCAGCTGCCCTGGAACACACTGTATAGACTAGGCTGGCCTTGAACTCACAGAGACCTGCCTGCCTCTGCCTCCCGAGTGCTGGGACTACAGCGTGTGCCACCACGCCCGGCTCCTTTGTATACATTTTTAAAATTACATGTTATGTTTTAGGCAGCATTTCTTTGGAGAATTTTTTATTTTAGGACATCAGGTTCACTACATTTACATAAGACTTCTCTTATTTTTCAGAAAGCCAAAGCTTATGGTGACTGAAAAGGCCATTCGACTTGCTTATCGCCATGCTAAGCAGAATAAAAATGATGTTGCATGCTTTTTACTTGGTTCTCTCACAGTGGATGAAGGTAATATATTGTAAATAATACTGCATGACTATAGTAAGATGTACATTTGTTTCAGCCAGCTGATGTATGTGCTTTGTGCTAATTTTCTTTGATATATACCATGGGTATGAAGATGAATAAAACTATCCATTACAGTGTAGTCAGGTGGAAAAATATATAAGCAAAGCATTTTTTAAAACAGGATAGGTTTTAAAATTTTTATTTATGGGACTGGAGAGATGGCTCAGTAGTTAAGAGCACTGGCTGCTCTTCCAGAGGACCTCAACGGGCATTGCAGGGCATGGGTGCACTTACACACTTGCAGGCAATACATTTATACACATTAAAAAAAATTTAAAAAATTTATGTGTTATGAGTGTTTGTATATATATATGCATGTATAAATGTACCATGTGGATGTAATTCCTGCAGAGGCCAGATGAGGATTGTGTTTGATCTCCTGGAACTAGAGTTACAGACAGTTGTTAGCTGCCATGTGGTACTGGAAACTGAACTCAGTCCTGTGCAATAACAGCCAGTGTTAACCACCGAGCCATTTCTGCAGCCCAGCAAAGCTAGCTTCTTTCCTGCTTGTCCTTCCCTCCCTCCCTCCCTTCCTTTTTTTTGGGGACAGGGTCTCAAGCATCTGCCGCCCAAGTGCTGGGACTAAAGGTGCGCGCCACCATACCCGGCTGCATTATTTATTTTTTATTTTATTTTTTTTAATGTGTATGAGTGTATTGCCTGCATGTATGTAAGTGCACCTGTGTCATGCAACGCTGCGGAGGTCAGAAGAGGGCTTCGGATTCCCCTGGAACTGGAGTTAAGGACGGTTCATAGCCACCATGTGGGTGCTGGAAATCGAACCCAGGTCTTCTGAAAGAGGAGTCAGTGCTCTTAACCACTGAGCCATCTCTCCAGCCCCTATTTTTTATATTTTTAATTTTAATTTTTTGTTCTTTTTGAGACAAAGTTTCCCTGTAGCCCTGGCAGGTCTGGAACTCACCATATAGAGCAGGCTGACTTTGATCTGCTTGTCTCTGCCTCCTAAGGACTGGGATTAAAGGCATGTACCACCATACCAGGCTTCAAAGCTTTTTTAATGGAAGATTTTAGTATACTACTGGTAAAAGCAAAGTGCTTTGTTAAAATGTATTCTTGCTTGGTTGTTTATGTTTTAAATTAGCATGCTACATGATAGCTGTTATTTTTGTTCTTTAGATGAAGAAGGTGTGACATTGACAGTTGATCGCTTTGACCCTGGCCGAGAAGTACCTGAATGCTTAGTGAGAGCCCCTACTGCGCTTCTTCCTGGAGATTTTTTGATCCCTTGCAAGGTTGATACTCAAGGGCTTTGTTCAAGAGAAATGATAGTTCATAATGCAGATGATTTCTGTTCAGCAGTTAAGGTACAATTCATTGATGACCTTATTCTTTTTTAAAAAAAATATTTTATTATTTTTATTTTATGTGTATGTGTGTATTACCTGCATGTAGGTAAGTGCAGCCGTGTTGTGCAATGCCTGTGGAGGTCAGAAGAGGCTGTCGGATCCCCTGGAACTGGAGTTATGGACAGTTGTTAGCTGCCGTGTAGGTGCTGGGATTTGAACCTGGGTCTTCTGCAAGAACAGCCAGTGTTCTTAACCGCTGAGCCATCTGTCCAGCCCCTGATGACCTTATTCTTAATTAAACATGAATATGTGTGGTTCATAGTATTTTAATCAACCTTTATTTGTGAATTATTCATAATAATTTGTGATTGAATTATTGTGGACTTAAAAAATACAGTTGGATGTAATTTCTGAGGCCAGCGATTGCAGGTAGGTGAGGTGGATAATATTCCAGAAGAAGACGCAGTATAACCAAGATAAGAGTGTTCAGAAAGCACTCATGATAACTGAGGTAGAGATTTTTGCTAGATTTGAGGGCAGTTGGACTGGAAATTTTGTTTAGTCAGATAATAGAGAAACTATCAACAGTAGTTATAAAAGATGTCTTTTTAAAAAGTATTATTTTTATTTTATGTATATGAGTGTATTACCTGCACATACATAAGTGCACCTGGGTCGTGCAGTGTCTGGAGGTCAGAAGAGGTTGTTGGATTCCCCTAGAACTGGAGTTCTGGATGGATGGTTGTTAGCCACCTTGTGGGTGCTAAGAATCAAACCTGGCTTAGCAGCCAGTACTTTTAACCACTGCCCCCTATAAAAGGTTTCTGAAAAGAGAAAATTCTGTCAAATCTGACTGAAGTCAGAATGGTCAACTAGGTGATGGCAGTCATTGGGTGTTTGTCAGAGGGGGATATATTAGCCTGTAAGAGTGAGAGCAGAAAGAATAGAAGGGGCTCAGTGAAAATGAGCAAGTGTGGAAGATGATCTACCTTGACGATCTGGATAGCGAGAAAGGAACTAAAAAGGGAATTCTGACTGAGGCTGAGTCAGCATTACTTTAAATACTGTTTTCCCCCATCTAGCAAAATTTATTATGGTTGATGGGTGATATTGCCCAACAAGAATTTGAACTGCTGTTAAGACATCTAAGTTGGAAGTTTGTAATGGAACTTGGAACTGGGGTCTTGCTTGTTTTGATATAATTGTTCACATAATTTTTTGATCTTATGAAGAAATAAGAATTGAAATGTTACAAATTAGAACTAATTTAGGCTGACTTGGAACTCACTATGTAGACCAAGCTGGCCTTGAACTTACAGAGATTTGCCTGCCTCTGTCTCCTGAGAGCTGGGACTAAAGGCGTGCATCACCACGCCTGGCTACATTTCAAAATTTTAACATAATTGTATAATGTTGATTCCTCAGGCTATACAATACCATGTATGTAGCAAAGATTCCTTGGACTGTGGAAAGCTGTTCTCCCTAAGAGCTCATATCACTTCCAGGGAGAGTTTGGACAGTGTGGATTTTGATTTGCATTGGGCAGCGGTATCTCTAGCAAATTCTTTCAAATGTGCACCGGTGAAGCCTATCCCCATCATTCCTACAGCTCTGGCAAGAAACTTAAGTAGTAATCTAAGTATTTCTCAAATTCAAGGAACTTGTAAATATGGGTAAGTAAAACATACATTAATCTAAACTCACAAATATTGGTCGCATTAATATGTTTTCTAAAATAGGGGCTAGAGAAATGGCTCAGCGATTAAGAGCACTGACTGCTCTTGCAGAGGACCTGAGTTCAGTTCCAGCACTCACATGGGAGTTAACAACTGTCTGTAACACCAGTTCCAGAGGATCCAGCACCCTCCTCTGACCTCTACAGGCATTGCACAACACTGGTGCACTTACACACATGCAGGCTATTTATGGGCACCCATACACATAAAATAAAAATAATGAATAAAATATTTTTTAAAAAATCCAAGTAAGGCAGGCGTGGTGGTGCACACCTTTAATCCCAGCGCTCGGGAGGCAGAGGCAGGTGGATCTCTGTGAGTTCAAGGCCAACTTGGTCTGCATAGGGAGTTCCAGGACAGCTTAGAGGCCAGTCTGGGCTAAAAAAAAAAAAAAAAAAAAAAAAAAAAAAAAAAAAAAAATGCAAATAATATGAAATAACTGTAGTCAGTTTACATGTCACAGGTACACTTATATACATAAAAGTAAAATAAAACACTCATACACATTAATAAAGTTTTAAAAAATCAATGGTAAAAAATTATATCAAAGTCATTTGTGGGGCTTGAGATAGACTCCCTGATAGGGTGCTTCCTTAGGGTGTACAAATCTGAGTTCGCTTCCCAGCTCCACACCAAAGCCCAAACTGGTTGATAACGTAATTTGAAAAGGGGAAGATGGGTTATGGTTTATTTTGCCTAAGTCTAGGCTGTTTTCTTTCTTTTTTCCTTTTATTAACTAAGATCTGACAGAATCTAAGAGAGGCTGGAGAATTTACTTATAACCTGTGCTTTTAACTGTAATGAGCACTGTGGTAGAGAAAGGACAAAGATTCATAGTGCTCCTGCTTACCGGATTATCAGCGGCTTGAGTGTGTAGTTCCTTCCATAGCAGAGGCAAAATTCTCTGCAGCAGCTTCCTATCCCTTAGTTTCTCAGGAAGTGGAGGTTGAAATGCATGTTTTCAAATCCTCAGTAGGGCTGCTTTCCTGAAAGCCACTTAGTTTATACTTACTGAATGTACTTAGTGTAATCTCCCTATGCTTAAAGTTTGAGCAGAAGTGCCTCTAAGCATTATACTTCTGGCTTCCTTTCCCACTGACTCCACCCTAGTTCCTGTTAGGTCTCTAGAGCCAAAGATGTTTGCCAGGGTACACTCAGCTCCAAGTCTTATCCTCTAAAAATGCTACTTGAAGGGGATGACAAAATAGAGGGCTTTCTACCAGAGCAGCAAAAAAGTCCCATTTTGAATTTCAGATTTTGACCAGAATGGTACATGCTAGTTGGAGTGGCACAAAAGAAAATGTATTAATTATATTCCAGAATCTGGAGTTATCCAAAGCCATGATGATCAAAAACTATTTGACTGAAACTTAAATCTTTTAGAGTAATAAAGTGCTTCTTGAATGGGACATGAGTTTTTGGGTTTTTTTTTTTTTTTTTTTTTTGCTTGCTAAAATTAACGATTACATTTTCCTTTGTTCTCATGCCCATTTACTCCTGCAGCATGAGTTTATCTGTGACCCCTTGACATACTGGCAGTAATCAGGACATGGGAATTTTCAGTATTTTAGCTTTTTTAAAAATTCATTTTATTATCATTATTTTTTTGTTTTTTTGAGACAAGGTCTCCCTGTAGCTCCAACTGGCCTAGAACTTGCTATGTAGACCAAGCTGGAAATGTTTTTATGTAGCTGTGCCTATTACCCTACCAAAAATTGGTGGTAATGGGCTGGAGAGATGGCTCAACAGTTAAGAGCACTGGCTACTGTTATAGGGATCCACCTGCTTCTGCCTTCTGAGTGCTGGGATTCAAAGTGTGCACCACCACACCCAGCATTATGGTTGTTTTTAGATTGTGTGTGTGTGTGTGTGTGTGTGTGTGTGTGTGTGTGTGTGAGTGTGAGTGTGAGTGAATGTAGGTTTGTGCATGTAAATGCAGATGTCCATGAAGGTCATAAGAGGGTGATACGGATGCTGGGAACCAAACTGAGGTCCTCTGCAAGAGCAGTATGCACTCTTAATCATTGAGCCGTCTCTCCAGTCCCCTGTTTAGTATTTTTTAAAATTAATTATTTTATGTAGATGAGTGTTTTGCCTGAATGTATGTAAGTGCACCTGTTTCCTGAAATGCCCGCAGAGGCCAGAAGAGGGCATTACATCCCCTGGAACTGGAATTACAGATGTTTGTTAGCTGCCATGTGGGTGCCGGTAATTGAACCCAGGTCCTCTGGAAGAGCAGCCAATACTCTTAACCCCTGAACCATTTCTTTAGCCCCCTGTTCAGTATTTTATCCAACCTAAGTTTTTTGTACTCTTTTAACTTAATTTCAATCGTAAGTATAACAACAAACTAAATTAATAGAATGTCCTTTTGGGGAAAGTGGGTTTTTGAATTTTACTATATTCCTTAGCAGTGGTTAGGGCAATGGGGCACATGGAGGGTTAATTATACCTCAGCCTCTTTTTTAAAATTTTGTATTTTATTTTATTTTTGTCTTTTTGGGACAGTGTCTCCCTCTAGCCCCAGTTGGCCTGGAACTTGCTTTGTAGACCAGGCTGGCCTCAAACTCACAGAGATCTGCCTGCCTCTGCCTCCTGAGTGCTGGGATTAAAGTCATATGCCACCATGCCAATTTAAATTAGCCTCTTTCAGTGAAAAGTCATATTTGTTACAGTCTTGTCAAATTGTCTGGATTCTTTGAAGACTTTCAGGAGTAAGAAATTTGACTTTTCCAACGTAACTTAACTGGTTCTGTAATTGAGTACTTCAATGTTAACACTGTATACAGAGTATGTAAAGTTGAGGAGTAAAAATTCTTTTAAAGTATGTAATATTTAAATGACTATTTTAAGTAGGTAGAAAATTTTAATTATTAAATATCAGCAATCTCTTCTTGCCAAAGTCTTTATCCTTTCCTATAGTGTTTTATAACTCAGCTTTGTCTTTTGGGGGGTTTAAAAGCACATACTTAAAATTATTCTTACCAATGTCTCTTCTATTTAGATATATTACCATGGATGAAACACGCAAACTGTTACTTTTGTTAGAATCTGATCCCAAGGTTTATTCTCTACCATTAGTGGGGATGTAAGTATGATACTTCTTTTTTTTTTGTCTTTTTGAGACAGGGTCTCCCATTAGCCCCAGCTGTCCTGGAATTCCCTATGTAAACCAGGCTGGTGTTGAACTCAGAGATCTGCCTGCCTCTGCCTCCCAAGTGCTGGGATTAAAGGCATGCGCCACCATGCCCAGCACCTCAACTCTAGTTTTAGGCACTAACTTTAATCTCCTCGAGTTGAGCCCGTTTCTACTCCAAGCTTATTTGTTCTGGCATCCTGCTTCCTCCTCTATGAACTGTGTCTTCTACATCTCAGGTAGAAGAGAACAAAGAACATGTACTTACTCTGTTTTTCTCTCTGTGTGTACATATGATATATTCATGTTGGCATAGATAGCCATGTAATGTACCTCCAGATTGCAAGCATGATTTCTTATCTCTGAAACTTTTATTCATTTATTTTTTTATTTTTATTTTTATTTTTTGTCTTTTTGAGACAGGGTCTCTCTGTAGCCCCAGCTGCCCTGGAACTCACTATGAAGACCAGGCTGGCCTTGAACTCACAGAGATCCACCTGCCTCTGCCTCCCAAGTGCTGGGATTAAAGGTGTGCACCACCATGCCCGGCCCTATTTATTTTCATTAAAAAAAATTTTTTTTTAATTTTATTTATTGTTTTTATGTGTATGACTGTTATCCCAGCATGTAGGTAAGTGCACCTGTGTCATGCAATGCCTGCAGAGGTCTGAAGAGGCTGTCAGATCCCCTGGGACTGGAGTTATGGACTGTTGTTAGCTGCCATGTGGGTGCTGGGATTCGAACCTGGGTCTTCTGTAAGAACAGCCAGTGTTCATAACCACTGAGCCATCTCTCCAGCCCCTTAAAATATTTTTATTTAATGTTTATGAGTGTGTTGCCTACATGTATGTAAGTGCATCCATGTCATGCAATGCCCAAGGAGGTCAGAAGGTGGCATTGGATCCCCTGGAATTGGAGTTAGGATGGTGATGTGGTTAGCTGCCTTATGGGTGCTAGGATTTGGACCTGGATCATCTGCAAGAACATGCAGTACTCTCCAGCACCTGTTTTTATTTTTTAAATTTTTTATGTATGTGAGTGTATGGCCTACATGTGTATAAATGCATGCACCCATCTTGTGCAGTGGCTGTGGAGGTCAGAAGCGGGCATTGAGTTCCCTGGAACTGGAGTTATGGACTGTTGTTGTTTGCCTTGTGAGTGCTGGGATTCGAACCCGGGCCCTTTTCAAGAACAATCACTGCTCTTCACTGCTGAGCTGTCTCTTCAGTCCCTTGTGAAGCTTTTAATGTACTACTGTTGATTGTCAAGGATCTATCTTGGAAAGGATATAATCTAAAGAATATTGGGGTTTTTGTATCCGTTTTGAGACAAGATCTCCATGGGTAGTTGAGGCTGGTCCGGAATTTGCCTCAGCCGCAGGGTGCTGGGATCATAGGTATGTGCCACCATATCAGAATGATTATAGGTTTTACTTTCTGTCTTTCTTTTAGTTGGCTCTCTGGAATTATACATATCTATAGCCCTTGGGTATGGGCATGCTGCTTGCGGTACATGTTCAGTTCTTCTATTCAAGAAAGGCAAGTGTTATTTTGTTCTGTAATCTTTTCTTTTGCTCTTTTCTCCTGTTTATATTTTGTTGGTCTCATTTAAAATTTGTATAATGCTTTAATTTTTTATAATGCTTATAAATAATTACCTTAAGAAAAATAAGAGTTATATTAAATGGGGCTAGGGAGTAAGAGAATAAGTTGTGTAGCTATCAGGGGCCATGTCCAGGCATAGGATATGCTAACTTTAAAAGCCCTGGGAAGATCACCTTGTGCCTTGCAGGATCAGCAAGAATACTAGTGTGAAGCCTGGTAATGCTTTGATCCCAGTATTCAGGAGGCAGAGGCAGGTGGATCTCTCTTGAGTTCAAGGCCAGCCTGGTCTACATAGTGAGTTCTAGGCACTGAGGCCATAGGGAGACCCTGTCTCAAAAAGACCAAAAAAAAAAAAAAAAAAAAATTCTTGGGCTGGAGCGATGGCTCAGCAGTTAAGAGCACTAGCTGAGCTCAATTCCCAGCACCCATATAGCAGTTAACTGTCTGTAACTCCAGTTCCAGGGGATCTGACACCCTCTTCTGACCTCTGCCAACATTGCATGATGTGTGTGCACTCACATACATGTAGGCAATACACTCATACATATAAAATAAAAATAATAAATTAAAAACAAACTCTTATAAAAAACATCCAAGCACAGGACACAAAACTGTTGGAGACATTAAAAACAACAAAATTACTTTGTCTAAGCAGGTCAATGCGAAATATGCATTCAGTGTTCTATTCCCATGGCACTAGTGGTCAATGGAATCAAAAAGGAAACCAGCTCTCACAATCACTGGAGTTTCTACATGTTAATTTTTTATTCTTTGCTGTGATTTGGTACAGTTAAGTTTTATTATTGATCTTGTTTTAAGTTCCTATTGGCAGTAAATGTTCCATAAAAGTTGGGGTGGGTCTCGAACCCCTAGGTTCAAGTGAAAATCTTGCTTCACCTTCCAGTTTACTAGGAGTATAGGTACATGTCATCTTGCAAACCTTCTGGAAGTATATACACTAAACTGGAGAGTTGGTGGGGTAGTTTTTGCTTTCCATTTTATTTTATTTATTATTAATTTTTTGGTCTTTTTGAGCCAGTCTTCCTGTAGCCCAGCTGGCCTGGAACTGCCTTCACCTTCCAAGTGCTGAGATTAAAGGCATGTACCACCATGCTCCACTTCACTTTCAATTTTATACATTCATGTTTTGTTTGATATTTTACAGTGAGTGTTTATATATTTTATAACACAATGCTTTTTTTTAATTTAAAAATTAATATTAAAAAAGTAAGCATGCATACCTTAAACAATCTGTTAACTAGATTGGGAAACTTACCTGGGAAGTTAACCTTATTAAATTTTAATTAATTGGCATTGTTTTGTACAGAGTTTTTTCAGAATCCGGAAATTTCATCATAGTTCTCTATTCTTTGACACATAAGGAACCTGAATTTTATGAATGCCTGCCTTGTGATGGTAGGGTGCCTGACTTCCAGTTTCAGTTACTAACCAACAAGAAAACATTGCATCTTTTCAATGTAAGTGATTTGTTTTCCTGTATAGTTATTTTCCTCATCACTATGACCAAAATATCCCATGTAATAAGGAAGGAGAGATTTCTTTTGGTTCCCAGTTTTGGAGGGTTCGGTCCACAGTTGGTTGGCCTTGTCAGGTGCTTGGGCAAAACATCATGGTAGTAGGAGCATGTGGTAGAAGAGGGCCATCTCCTCTCTGGCTAACCTGGAAGAGGGGGAAGAGGGCACGCAGGTGCTCTGTCTTTCTTCTTTCCCCTTTTATTCTGCCAGGGTTCTGAGCAGTGCGATGAGACCATGCACATTCGGGGTGGTTCTTCCCTCAACTGATCCTCTCTGGAAAGGCCCTCACTGATACACCTACAGGTGCCTCATTAATCCAGCTTGATCCTCTTGTACTGTTGAAAATTAATTTTGTGATTGTCATGTTTTCTTTGTCCTCACTTAGTTTTTTAAAACATCTGAGTATAATAATATATAAAAGCTTTTCATACTGAAAATCAATATTTATATGATATAATCCAAGGAATTGGAATAAGTTGTTGCTAGAGCTAATGAAGTACATAAAAATGCATCTAGAGGATCATTATGGGAAAAGTAGATCTTCGAAACTATGTCATATATAAACTAAATTGAAAGGATCCCTTCCCCCACCTTTGAGATATTGCTCAGGCTGGCCTCACTCTTTGGCTCAAATGATCATCCTGCCTCAACCTCTTTGAATGGGACCACACATGTGTGCCATCACTCCTGGTTTAAATAGTACTTTTAGTAAAATTGCTGTTTATCTTAGGTTTGAAGACCAGTAATAAAAATATATTCATTATTTTATTATAAAAATATTAAATACCTCTAAACCGCATGATTCTATTCAGATCTTTATTTTTTCTTTACATTCATTTATGGATTATTAGTTCATCAGTAAAGTTTTTATATTTTCTGTGATTATGTTCACTGAATCCCTTATTACTGAGTACGTAAGGAGATTAGGTTTTCATTTTCACCCATAGAAGGTGAAAGGCTACACTTACAGAAAGTATAAAGCAAGCCTACATTTACAAAAATCAGAAGTGCTCCCTCCACCAGTGTTTCAGAGCTGCTGTTCATCTAAATAGAATTCTTTGGTAATTTAAGTCAAATCTCAAAGTATGATCTACTTCATTTCAGAATGTTGAACCATCTGACAAAAATCCAATCCACTTTGAACTAAGTGCTGAAAGTCAAGATGCAGAAGCAGAGTTTTTTAGCAAGATTTCCAAGACTCTTTCAGTTAAGAGGTAAAAGACACCTTATTATGTATATTTTCTTTACTACATTTGTTTTTAGCAGATAGTTAAAATAAGTAGGTTCAATGAGATGGCTTAGTGGGTAAAGGGGCTTGCCATCAAGCCTGTCAACTTGAGTTTGGTCCTTGTCACTCACGTAAAGCTGGTAGGAGAAAACCAAATCTGCAGAGTTCGTCTCTTACCTATATATATGTGTGAATGGCACGTATGTCCCTCCTCAGTAAATAAACATTAAAAAATTTTTCGATCTTCAGTTATTTCTGGTAAAACTATTTGTGATCTTATGTGCCTTAGGCATTTGTACTTTAAATCCATTGAATGATAATTTAATGAAACATCAACTCTAATATGGTTTTTGTTTGAGTTGATTTATTACATAGGGAAACCAAAAAAAAAAAATCTTAGTTTCTTGCTGAGGCATTACCATTCTTTTTTTGTTTAGTGCCTTTTATTTGTTCTTCCTTTCCTTGTGGTTTTAAACCTGGAACCATCAAATAACCTAGCGAAATAATTTCTCTGGGGCTGGAGAGATGGCTCTGTGGTTGAGTACTTGATGCTTTTGCAGAGGATCAGTTAGCAGTACCCACATCCAGTGCCCATGTCAGCCAGCTCACAACCTGCTGTTACTCCATTTCAGGGGCTCTGACACTTTCTTCTGGTCTCTGTGGGCGCTTGTATGCAGGTGGTGCACATACATACATTTAGGCATACACACATAAACTTAAAAAATATAATAATCCCTCTACCTAAAAATGAAATAGTTGGTTTAAAAATTGTATAAAATGCCGGGTGTGATAGCTCACACCTTTAATCCCAGCACTTGGGAGGCAGAGACAGGTGGATCTCTGTGAGTTCAAGGCCAGCCTAGTCTACATAGTGAGTTCCAGGACAGTTGGGGCTACAGGGAGACCCTGTCTCAAAAAGACCAAAAAAAAATTGTATAAAACAAATTGTACTTAGAGAATATTAAATCAAAGGCTTGCAACTTCTTGGGTCATTATATCCTACCTTTTGTAGTAAAGAACATATCCGCTTGTATTGGGATTCTCCAGAGAAACAAAACCAACATGGGTGTGTGTGTGTGTGTGTGTGTGTGTGTGTGTGTGTGTGTACGTACATGTGAGATACTTATTTTAAGGGACCAGCTCCTGTAATTATGGAGGTTTGGCAAATCAAAAAGCTGCAGGGTAGGCTCCTAGACTTAAGTCTCAGAGTAGTGCTTCATTTTGAGAACAAAGGCACCGGTCCAGGGAGGTCAGTGTTTTTCTGTTAAGACATTCAGCTGATGGGGCTGGAGAGATGGCTCAGTGGTTAAAAGCACTGGCTGCTCTTGCAGAGGACCCAGGTTCAGTTCCCAGCAACCACATGGCAGCTAACAGCCATCCATAACTCTACTTCCAGGAGATCCAGCGCCCTCTTCTGACCTCTGTGGACATTGCACAACACAGATCCACTTGCCTACATGCAAGCAATACACTCATACACATAAAATTTACACATACACACACACACACACACACACACACACACACACACACACACACACGGCATTCAGCTGATTGGATGAGGCCGCCTATATTATGTATGGACAGTACTATGTCTACTAACTTAAACATTAGTCTCATATATAAACTACCTTCGTGGCCTGGCATGGTGGCACACACCTTTAATCCCAGCACTAGGGAGACAGAGATAGGTGGATCTCTGGGATTGAGGCCAAAAGACAAACAAGAACTACCTCCGTGGAGGTAGACTATTAGACTATTATTTCAACAAATATCTAGATACTGTGGCCTAGCTAACTCGATACATACAATGAAGTTTGGGATTCAGCTTTTTCATCTGTTCTACTGTGCTATGTAATGTACTAATGGCTGGGGATATGGAGGTTTACCAGAGAGATGCACACATGGTCTCTTCCCTTATGGATTTTATAATCCAGTGATACAGACTGTTTAGTGTTCAGATATTCTCATTGCTTTATTATAGTACTTTGCATAGAAAGATCTTATTAGAAAGTTCCATTTATCTGATACACTCAATTCACAGCTGCCTTTCAATACTGGGCTTGTTTGTTTTTTGAGATAGGGTCTCCCTGTAGCCCCAGCTGGCCTGGCATTCACTGTGTAAACCAGGCTGGTCTCAAGCCCACAGAAATCCACCTGCCTCTGCCTTCCCCTGAATGCTGGGATTCAAGGCATGCACCACCATACCTGGCCTTTTTTATTTTATGTGTATGAGTGTTTTGCCTGCATATATGTGAGTGCACCTATGTCATGCAGTGCCCATGGAGGCTAGAAGAAAGCATTGAATCTCCTAAAACTGGAGTTACGGACTGTTGTTAGCTGCCACGTGGGTGTTCTACAAGAGTAGCTGGTGTTCTTAACAGTTGAGCCATCTCTCCAGACCCTAAAGCTTTGTTTTTATTTACTATTTTATTTTTGCATGTATTTACTATTTTATTATTTATTTATTTATTTATTTATTTATTTATTTTTATTTTGCAGTATCAGAGATCAAACCCAGGGCCTCCTACATGCTAGGCAAGTGGCCTACCATTGAGCTACATCCCTAATCCTTGTTTCTCAACTTTTTTTCTGTCATCTCCTCTCTTGTGCCTCCACCAAGGTCGGCACTTCTAAGAAAGAAAAATGCTTTTCTCAGAATCCCATTTTACCCATAATTCAGTTTGTTAAAAAGTGGATGTATAAGATGTGTTATTTCTCAACTTTTAAAAATGTAATCAGAGACAGGTAAATCTCTGAAGGCCAGCCTGGTCTACCTAGTGAGTTCCAGGCCAGCTGGGGCTACCGGGAGAGGCTGTCTCAAAAAAGACCAAAAAAAAAAAAGTAATCTGAACCTGCGTTTTAGACTTCTTTAATACTGTCTGTTTACTGCTTGAGAAATAAGCAGATTTATATCTAATTATTGATTATTGATTATTGAAATAATTTTATTTTATTGAGAAAATGTCCGGTATTTGTGTGTGTGTGTGTGTATTCAAGTCCATCCTTTATTCTCAACATTTGTTTAATTGTTAAAATGCAAATTATGACTGTAACTATTAGTTTCCTGTTCCTGCTGTAATGGATAAAAATAGTTACTTAAAAGTTGCACAAGTTCTGGAAGTCAGAAATCAAAAATGAATTTTTGGATCTAAAACCAAAGTGTTGGCAGGACCTGCATTCCTTCTGGAGGCCCCAGGGACTAATTTATTTCATTGCTTCTTCTACTTCTAGAGACCATCAGCATGTCTTTTATCAAAGCTTCTTACTCTGCTTTCAAAGCTGGTAGCATAATGTCTACAACCTGTGCTTCTGCTCTCACGTCTTCTCTCATTCTGATCCTCTTATTTCACTGTTATGAGGTTGTTTACAATTACATTGGGTCTACTTGGATAACCCAAAATAATCACTGTAGCTCAAGATTTTCTTTTTTTAAGATTTATTTTTATTTTAATGTGTATGGGTTTTGTGTGCATGTATGTAAGTACAATCATGTGTGCAGTACCCATGGAGGTCAGAAGAGGGCATCAGATCTCCTGGAACTGCAGGTACAGATGTTTATTAGCCCCCATGTGGGTGCTGGGAACCAAACTCGGGTCCCCTGCAAGAGCAGCTAGTGCTCTTAACGTTGAGCCATCTCTCCAGCCCCTGTTTTTATTAATTTTTAGTGTGTGTGTGTGTGTGTGTGTGTGTGTGTGTGTGTGTGTGTTTATGCAGATATGTGTCTGTGAGTATGTCTGCCGGTAAAGCCCAGAAAAGGAAGAGCAAACAGTATGTGCTTTTAAACGCTGAGCCGTCGTAGCCACCCTCAAGTTCTTAACCAACCCCCCCAACTTCCTTTTCCACATGTAGATATTCAGGTGTACTAGAGGGTAGAAAGATGTCTCACATATTTCTTTTCCATCTGCTTTGGGCATTTAAAACAATCCTTGAAACAATTAGATAACCCCAAAACTAGTATGTTCTAGTCACTTTTGGTTTTTTTTGTTTTTGTTTTTTTATTTTTTGAGATAGGGTCTCCCGATGTAGACCAAGATGGCTTTGATCTCACAGAGATCCATGTGTCTCTGTCTCCCAAGTCCTGGAATTAAAGGCTTGCACCACCACGCCTGACTTATTCAAGTCACTTTGAAGGAATAGCTTAACTTCATTTATTTGTTTGTTTATTTATTTATTATTCATTTTGGTCTTTTTGAGGCAGGGTCTCCCTGTAGCCCCAGCTGGCCTGGAACTTACTATGTAGACTAGGCTGGCCTTGATCTCACAGAGATCTGTCTGTTTCTGTCTCCCAAGTCCTGGAATTAAAGGCTTGCACCACCACGCCTGACTTATTCTAGTCACTTTGAAGGAATAGCTTAACTTTATTTATTTATTTATTCATTTATTTATTTATTTTGGTCTTTTTGAGGCAGGGTCTCCCTGTAGCTCCAGCTGGGCTTACTTACTTACTATGTAGACCAGGCTGGCCTTGAACTCACAGAGCTCCGCCTACCTCTGCCTCCCAAGTGCTGGGATTAAGGGCATGTGCCACCACATCTGGCTTAACTTTCTTAAATTTTAAGGCCTTATTTAACATTTTATTGAATATTCACGGAAGAAAAGGGTACATTGAGGAGACAGAATTCCTTAATGTCAAGGGGCTGGGAGTGTGGCTCAATGGTAGAGTGCTTGCCTATCATTCAAAAAGCCCTGAATCTGATCCCTAAGCAGCACCAAAACAACAACATAGTTGTTGAAAACCACTATGCTTATTCTCAACCCCCAACAAAGCTTTAATGAGGATCAGTCATTTCAGATTTTAGAAAATGTAACTTGTCTAACTTTATTAGACAATCTCTCTCTCTCTCTCTCTCTCTCTCTCTCTCTCTCTCTCTCTCTCTCTCTGTGTGTGTGTGTGTGTGTGTGTGTGTGTGTTTGTTTATCATAAGGGAGTGTAGCAATAGCCAGTATTCCACAATATAACTAGTGTGCAAAATGTGCATCTTTTTTTACATAGTAATTTGAACCCCTATTTTACTTGTTTCGTTCTGTTCAGATTACGGTCAATTTTACCCTCTTTGCGTGGAGGTTTATGTAATATGGAGGGGATTAATGATGTCCATTACTGGTGATAAAGGGTGATTTTTGTCTACCTGTGTTGCTGTCTGCTGAAATCTTTCCATTTGTATTTGGTTTTTGATAGATTTATGTGGGTTCTTGCTATAGCCCCTTGACCCTATTCAGGTCATTGACTGTGTGCAGGTTGCACTGAGGATATGCCCCACATTCTTGCATGTTGAAGGAGAGTTTAATGGGACTGGTGCAGACTCAACCTGTATTTGAGCACATCATGCAGACATTCTCATTGTTTTATTACAGTACCTTGCACAGAAAGACCTTTGTGAATATCTTTCTAGACTGCTGGGATTTGGGGAGATTGTCTCCCCCGCTGTTAGATCTTAAGATCTGCTTTGAGGTTTTTTATTCTGATGTCCTCCTAGGAAGAATTCAATTTACATAAAACAGGATGTAGGATGCTCTCTTAGGAACCTCATTAATTTTAAGTTCTCTTAGTTTCTTTTTAGCTTACCTTTTCCCTAAGTATCCTGTGGAGATTTTTGTTTAGTTTCTAGAATGAAACTAGCAATAGCAAAACAAAACCCTCATTTGCTCTTAAGCTTTAATTTTAGGTTTTGAAACTCAGTACCAACACTCAGAATTTTCTTTTCCTTCCCTCCCTCCCTCCTTTCAGTTATAGGGATTGAACCTAGAGCTTTACATGTACTAGACAAACACTTTATCATTGAACTACATCCCTAGCTGTCGAAGACTTTCTGTTTTCACACGAAGCATGCCATCTGTAATATGATGACTTGAACTGACTAAATGGGAGGTGTATTCCATTTCAAAGTATTTTCCTACTGTAGATATAAATACACAGGAAAAAATGAATCAGCATATCATATATGTATGCTGCATTCTTTAATGAAACCTATTGCTTTGTATGCTAGCTTTAAAAGTCACTTACAAGGAATATAGAGACTGCTACAGTGACTAACAGGGTGCAGGCACTTGCCATCAGGTGTGACAACCTGAGTTTGATTCCCTAGGACCCACATAGTGGAAGGAGACAACCGATTCCTGAAAGTTGTTCTCTGACCTCCACATGCATGCCATTTACATGGGCACACAAAATAAAAACTTTAATTGTATATATGTATATTTCTTAAGTATATAGAAATATGTAATTCAATGGTTTTCCTTTTTAACATAGTGGGTGCTTCATACAATGTGTTAAATGTAGCGTATGTATTAGTTACTTCTTTTATTGCTCTAACAAACAAAATACCCAGCAGAACAATTTAAAAGGAGAAGATTGGTTTGGGCTCTTTGAGAGAGATTTCAGTTCTTGGGGGAAAGGCGTGGTGGCAGAAGCTGTTCTACCCACCAGCAGTGGGAATCGAGTGGTGGTGATGTCTACACCTGGTGGGGGCCAGGAGGCAGAAAACAGGACTGAACCAGAAGCAGGTAGAACCTTCAGAGATCAACCTTAATCAGCCTACTTACCAGAGCCAGGCCCTACATCCTAAAGATTCCATGGCTTTCAAAATCCTGCCAGAGACTGGGGACCAGCTGTTCAAGACCTGAACTTGTGGAGTGCATTTCAAATTCAAACCATTGCAGTTGATGTATCTGTCACATCACATTATTTCCCAGTAAGTGCCAAGTTGTTTTTTTTGTTATGGTCTGTTTGAGACAGGGTCTCCCTGTAGTCCTAGCTGGTCTGGAACTCACTATGTAGACCAGGCTGACCTCTAACTCACAGAGAGAGCCACCTGCCTCTGCCTCCTAAGTGCTGGGACTAAAGGTCTGTGCCATTAGGCCTGTTTTTTTTTTTTAATTTATTTTATGCGTATGAGTGTTTTGTCTCCATGTATATAAGTGCACCCATGTCATGCAACACCTGTGGAGGCCAGAAGAAGGCATCAGATCCCCTGGAACTGGAGTGGTTATTAGCTGCCATGTGGGTGCAGTGCTCCTAACTGCTGAGACAGCTCTCCAACCCCCCCAAGTTTTGTTTATACATTGCTCTGGGTTGTCAATGAGAATGTCCTCAGTGACTCTTGGTGTACTATAGCGTTTAACACTGTGGAGTTGAACTGTTGATGGCCAAGCAAATGGGAGAGTTACGTAGCTATAAGTTGGAGTAGACCAGCTTTCCTGGGAAACCAACACTGACCTGAAAAAGCTAATCTGTAACTGTCGCAGTAATTATTGAATGACCTCATTGGTTATCAAAAAGGAAGAAATAACCCTAGATTGTTGAAGGTTTTTCTTAAAAAAAAAAAAAAATTTA